AAAATAGGAGAGAAGTAAAGAAAAGAGCAATGAATTAAAGTCTTTGTGTTTTTTTGGTTGCATTTCTTACTCTCTTCTAGACTATTTCTAAAATAGACTTGCTGTTTGGTTTTTTTCATTACCTTTATAGCATTGATTCCCCAATTTTGTTCTCTTGCCTGGAAGTGTGAGGGCTTCCCACTCATGTCATGTCCAGCACTGAACTCTAAATCTTGGTTCAATGAACAAATGGCAGAAAATAATTCATTAATTAGTTTGCTCATTTATTTGAGTCTTTGCTATATTTTTATGATCTCTTTTCCATAGGGAGTTAACAATAGCTAACATCTCAAAATGATTTTCACAGGAGGAATAATTGAAATAATTGCAAATATTTGATTTGATTAGTAAATTCAGTATTACCAAAGTAAATTCACCTTTTCATCATGTGGAGATCACCACCATCTGCCTGTCTGCTGGTCCTCTGACTTTTCTGCTCTGCCTCCATCCTGGGATGATATAGACAGAGCCAGCGCTCAGAAATCTCTGAGTCTGATGCTTTACTCAGACTCTTTAGCTGATTTTTGGTCTCCCAGGCAATTTAAGGTCCTTGATCCTTGTTATTCCGTTATAGTATGTGAGTCCTTGCTGTTTTGTTCCCAAATTGTTTTCAGGCTCAGCTTCTAATCTTTGCAATAGATTTGAATATCTCCCTTGCCTTTCCAAATGCATGGTATCCACCTACCCTGACCCATCTGTGCTGCCTAATTCTGTTCACACAGCCCTTCCTGGGTCCGAATGCAATGCAGACCTGTTACTTGAGGTACATGGAAGTTTGCATTTTCTCTCCTTCTTCTCATTCTTAATGGACTCCTCAGAGTATTTGACTCTCTTTCTCATTTAATGAGTCTAACAGCAGGATTCTACCAGGCAGATAATTATCAAATATTTTTCCTTTTAGGAGAAGAAGTCTAAAGAAGGTGATGGGATTCATTCACAAGTGACCTTGTTTGGATGAACAGCATCTTAGTGATGGATAGAAAGGCCTCACTCCCGCTTTGGCTGGATAGTGAGCTCTGAAAGCAGGGCTGTGCCTGGGCTGTCCAGTACTTTCACCCTAGTTCCTAGCTCAGCTCAGTGTCTGCCTGTGGTAGGCACTGAATAAATACTTATTGAATCAATTTATTTATTTATATTTTTTATTTTTGAGATGGAGTTTCACTTTGTCACCAGGCTGGAGTGCAGTGGCGTGATCTTGGCTCACTGCAACTTCTGCCTCCTGAGTTCAAGTGATTCTCCCACCTCAGCCTCCCAAGTAGCTGGGGTTATTGGCGCCCGCCACCATGCCTGGCTAAGTTTTGCATTTTTAGTAGAGACTGGGCTTCACCATGCTGGCTGGGCTGGTCTCGAACTCCTGACATCAGGTATCTGCCCATGCTGGCCTCCCAAAGTGCTAGGATTACAGGTGTGAGCCACCACACCCAGCCAAATAAATTTATTTTTAAAAATTGGTTAATGTTGGAAGTTGACAGTTGCTTTTGTTTCTTACAGAAACAGTGTAAGTTTGCATCGAAGATTTTATTTTGTTTCTAAAACTTACCTTGTAGTTACAGCTGATAATATCAGAAACAGTGATGAAATATGGATGAAGCACACATGCTTCATCTTTATGGTCTACAGTCTTCTATCTGACCATGTGTTCAGCTGAGCATTGTCTGACAGCAGACTTTCTAATCTCTGCTGAAGATACTGAGAGGCTGCCAGGTGATAAGGTCGCCTTAATATCACCTATTCTCTAATAGTCAGATTGCCAAGACTGACTGATTTCCCTGATACTCAAGTGGCAGCAGCCCCATGACTTCCAGACAGTGAATCTGATGGGAAAGAAAGAGCTCTCTCCCTTTCCTGAGTTAGCTGCTTCCTTTAGAGTCAAATCCCTTGGGACTTTAATGGAGAGTAAGTATTCTCAGCATCAGCACCAATGGATGTTTTGGGCTGGATCACTCTGTGGTAGAGGCTGTCCTATGCATTGTACGATGTTTAGTAGCATCCCTGGCCTCTACTCACTGAATACCACTTTCACTGTCCCCTTCTCCCCAGTAATGACAATAAAAATATCTCCAAACAATGACAAATGTGATCTGGGAGAAAAAACCGGTCCCAGTTGGGAACCACGGGCATAGAGGGCATTGTTGAACTGATTGTGCCAGTGCCAGAAAGTAATACTGATAGAATATGACCTGGTATTTTCTATCCTTGGCAAAAGCATAGGAGGATACATATATATGCATGTAAAAAGTTTTTCTTTAAGTATGAGCCTAGACGTGCACCTCAGTGTCCTTATTACTTGCCCCTTTATCTCACACCCCCTCCCAAGCCATTTCTTGTAACAACCATTCCAACTTGTAAATATCCCTTCTGCCTTCTTTTATTGATAAGACCAAAATATTCACTTTAAGCTCCCAGAGTCTAGTTAGAATTGGCAAATCAGCATTTGTTGTAGGTCTGCCATGTGTCAGCCACCCTGCTAATATGTACATTGATGTATTCCTCTTGGCCATTCTGAGAGAGAAGTTTGCTATTCTTGTCTCACCAGCGAGGAAATAGAAGCACATATTTACACAGCTAAGTGGCAGAGTTCAGAATAACGAACAGGTCTTCTGACTTGGTTAAATGATATTTTTATCTTATTGTTCAAATCTCATCAACATTGACTTGAAATTTAATTTAATCACTGTCTGCTTGAAAATTTAATCACATTACTTGAAACTGTGGAGTACTGGCTTGCAAAAAAGAATCATATTAGGAATAACACATGCAAAGTCCCAGAACCATAGAATGTTAAAGGATAAAGGCTCCCAGATATCATTACATTGTGATCATCTTCAGGTCATCATTCTGTCATTTACCAAATATGTGTTGAAAGCTTACTCTGTGCCAGGGCCTCTGTACATCAGTCAAGATGGATAAGGTCCTTACCCTGTGGAACTTACATTGTAATAAGGTAAACACCCAGTAAACAAGTCTAAAACGTAAATGAACAAACGATAATTATGGCTGTGTTAAGTGCTGGGAAGGAAATGAACAATGAGAGGAAAATAATTACGGGAGGGAGATGTTTTAACATCCAGTGATCAGGGAAGTTGTCTTTGATCTTGACACCTCCCGAAACACTGGACATGTTGCTCTTCCTCAAAAAGTGTTAGTTCCTTTGCATAAGCACCTAGCACAGTACCTGGCACAGTGTAGGTCCTACACCCCTTCGTTGTATGAAAAGAGCATGATTCTTTTTTCTTTGTAGCCTTATAGGTCTAAAATCGTATAATACCTTGTTTTAGTTTCCTTTTGCTGCTGTAACAAATTACTACAAACTTAGTGGCCTCAAACAATATGTTTATTATCTTATAGTTCTGGAGGTCAGAAGTCCTAAAATCAAAACCCTTCTCTCTGGAGTCTCCAGGGGAGAATCTGCTTTTTTGCCTTTTCTGTCTTCTAAAGGCCACCTGCGTTTCTTGGCTTGTGGCCACATCCTATACCTTCAAAGCCAGCAGCATAGCATCTTCCAACCTCTTTCTCTGATCCTGGCCTTCTTGCCTCCCTCTTCTGAAGACCCTTGTAATTTCATCAGGCCTACCCACGTACTCTAAGATAATGTCCCCATTTTAAGATCCTTGGCTTAACACATCGGTAAAATTCTTTCGGTGATAAAAGGTAACACATTAACAGGTTCTAGGAGTTATATCATCTTTGGGGGGGGTCATAATTCACCCTCTTACAATTAGCAATAAATGTTAATTTTTTTCCACGCCCATTATATTTTACAGGTGAACAACCTGAAAAGCTAAATGAGTTGCCTAAAAGCACATGCTTGGATATAGCTTTATACCTGGTCACCTCATCTAAGTAGATCACTTCTATTCTCTCTATATCCAAATTCTGCTCTTTTCTTTAGCAAATTCACCACAATTTACATGTCTTTGTTTTGTTATTGCCACAAGAGCAGGAAGCCAGGTCACTTTAATTCATCAAGGTGTACTCATCACACTGCTCTATGCCTGACACATAAGTGTGCACATCTCTAAAATGTTTTTGAATGAATGAATACTCTATTATGTGCTTGGGTAAGAAGAACCCAATCTCTCATGAAGTATTTTGTGCAGTGACTTCTGGCAGGTTGTAAACCCTCAGCCATTTTTAAAGCATCAAAAGGAAAAGTGAACCGCAATACTGGCCCATAATTCAAGTAGGTAGAAAAGAAGGGAATCAACCCATACCTGGTATTATATTCTTTCCTCTGCTGGTGATGAACTTTCCTTTCTGGCATACTATAAGGCACTCTGCATTTGAATGTGGTAGTCTGTATCTAGAACTGGAATATACAGTGCTTTGTATATTGACATGTTATTAACATCAGTCTTTTGAGAGAGCTTCTGAATGGCTCACTTCATTATTTAATTCAGGATAAGAGGAAGGAGAAAGGCCAAAAATCTAACTGTACGCTTTGTTATTGCATTAGATTTTCTCTACTCTGCCTTAGAGAAGTAACAAAGGAGAAAAAATTACAGTTCTTACTGAACAGTGCAAGTGGCATGTTTATGGGTTCACTTAGCAAGCTGTAAAACACTTAAATGAAAAAATAAAATTAAATTTAATAGTATAGGTTATCTCCAACCCAGAAAATGAGCTCCTAGAAGTCTTAGATCAAAGTACCATATGCTAAACATCTATGTGAAGGAAAGCTCACAAATATAACACCTCATGTTATCATGAAAGACAAATTATATTTACATTATGGAGGTACTTTGCTTTTTATTTTCCTTAATCTTGCCTAATGAATACACTGTTTGGTCAGACGTGTTTTACATCTGACATTCTTTTCTCCTAGGAAATAATATACCTGTAACTCAAGGTGTTATTAAAATGATGAGAAAATATGAACCCAAAGGGAGGTGTTTTCTCTTTTAGTATTGCTTTCAAGACACCAGATTTTTACCCTTGTAATGTATTTACTTTGGTTCTAGTGGCCAAGGATGTCAATATCCTTTTTGATGAATTAGAAGCTGTCAGTAGTCCTTGCAAGGATGACGATTCTCTTCTTCACCCTGGAAACTTGACAAGTACTTCAGATGATGCCAGCAGATTGGAAGCCGGGGGAGAGGTAAGAGTACATAATTTCTTACAAATGTAATTCATGATCCAGGCAGGAGCCTGTGAAGCATATTCCAATGGACTGTTTAAAGTTATAATCTCACTGAACTATAGGCTCTTATAAAACAAGGAATAGGTTTTATATTCCCTTGACATCCGCCATGGGTTTAAGCATATTTCAAGGATCCTAAATCTACCTACACTCAAAACAAAGTTTCCATTTTTCTTAAACCTAACTTTTTTTTTTTTAAACCGCCCATCATTTTCAGATAGCCTACATTCTTGAGTGTCTCCAACTGGTACAAAATGAGCTTTACAGGGATGGACTTCCTTGTATAGATCCCCCAGCAGGTAGAATAGTGACCTAAAATGCACCAGCCGTCAGTTGATTGTGTTGTCTGAAGCCTCTCTGAGTTTCCATTTGCCTCTGTAATCTGGAAACTTCATTGCAACTGTAAATAGACCCATCTATTTGTGTACCATTTTGGAAAAATTAGTATTTTATTGGAGGCATTCCCCTTTGTTCAGGTTGTATCTCAATGGAGTTTATTATTTCCTTTGTACATGCACTGCGTATAGGTAAATAGGCACACAGAATCAGAGTAATTTATTTATTGCATATTCCTGTTTTTGATATTCCAGAGCTAGTTAACTGCTGAAAGGGTGACACCTGGAACGGAGAAAATTGTTTACTCTTACCAAGCTTTGCAGACTTCTCCCCACAAATATCATACACTGTTATCCATGGTTTTCTTTCTGTTTTTTCTGTTTGTTTCTTTTTAAGAAAAAGCTAATTCTGTTATCTGTTCACACAGATACTTTGAATACCATAATGTGGCATAATGAATGGACTTTGAAAGGGACCTCAGAAAGCAAATAGTCTCCTCCCTGTAACTTACAGATGAGGAAACAGTGTCAGAAATGTTAGGGCTTTGCCGAAGATGGCACAGCTCATTGTTCTGCTTGGAGCCAGTACCCCTCCTGATGTCTTGGCTGAAGCCATTTTTGAAGCCAGATGCTTATATGTTGAATTCACAGGGCAGCCTTCTTGCTTGCCAAGTAATTGTTACTAAAGTGCTTATTCAGGTAGACTCCTGAGTGTCTCTTAATGCAAGAGCCAAAAAACTAGTCAGTGAGGATTGGTCATCAATTGAAAATGTCTACACCAAAACATGGTACATGGGCATTCCATTCCCCCTGCCTGAGATTTTTCATTTGGTTAAGGTTTGTGCAAGGATGTGGTTTCTAGCAATGACCCTTCAGGTCTGGCATGTTTGCCTTCTTCATACTACCATTGGAAAAGACAGAGTCCACCATTTTCATTTGGCTGGGTTTATAGACACAATTTTGAAATCTATTAGGCTGAGAAATTTGGCTCCAGCCCAAAGATCCCGTGTTTGATGGTATCTTTCAATATTGTATAGCAAGCCTGAAGAGCCTGGATGAAAATTCAATCCACTCCTTTTGTTCTTTACTTTTTAATATTACTGCAAATTAATATTTGTAACTTCTATGTAAGTTACAAAGCATAATAGTAAATGGACACCTGGAACCACCATCTGATTTATGAGCTAGAATGCCATTTTTCATATGATACTGGCAACCTAATTGTAGATTACTAACAACAATTGTTTTTTAATGGACTGGATAATTAGAGTGTATGTAAATAGAAAAGGTAAATAATTATTTTATGAAACTTGTCTCATATTTTGTATATGTATATTTACATATGCACACAAAGATAAAATAAAATGTTTTTCTTGTTGTGGGTGAAAAAAATTGAGAAACACTGAACTAGAATATTCCTAAAACCAGTGAAGCTACTTTCAATCCCATACGCCTACCCTACCAGAGGTCCCATCTTTCTAAATTTGTTTGTTTTTTATTTTCCTGCTTTAAAAACAGTTTTACCACATACATTTGTAGTCTTAACAACTTACATTTAGAGGTACTTTATTTTATGCTTTATGAAAAATGATATCATATGGTATGAAGTCTTCTGACACTTGCTTTTTTACATCAGTGTTGTTTTTAAGATTCATTTTTTTTTTTTCTTTTTGTACTTTGAATTGTGAAGTCATGTTTTTATAATAAATTCCATATTCTGGACAGAAAATAGAATCTACAGTTGACTGTATATGTTTTTTTCATGTGGTTAAGTATGTTTGCTTTTTAATTTTTTTCTTGTTTTGCTTTATTGAGGTATAATTTACATAAAGCAAATACATTGATCTAAGTATACAGTTGAATGGGTTTTTTTTTTTTTTTTTTAAGAAGGATTAAAAAAAAAAAAAAAAAGAAAAAGAATACAGGAAAGGAAGAAAGAGGAAGAGGGAGAGAGAACAGGGGTGTTGCTTTATTGCCCGGGCTAGAATGCAGTCTAAAACTGGGTATGCCTGTAATTGTGTTTAATAATAGAGACATAAAAAAAATGAGGGAATAAAATAATTAACAAGCAGCCAACCAATATTTCATTTAAACCTGTAAATACGTGTGATGTAGTACTGATAAGAGTGTATATTTTGTGTATTTAAAATGGAGAGTTCTATGAATGTTAATTAAGTCTACTTGTTCCAGATCTGAGTTCAAGTCCTAGATATCGATGTTAACATTCTGTCTCATTGATCTATCTAATATTGATGTTGAAGTCTCCCGCTATTATTGTGTGGGGGTCCAAGTCTCTTTGTAAGTCTTATATATCTGGGTATTTCTGTATTGGGTGCATATATGTTTAGGATCTTTAGCTCTTCTTGTTACATTGATCCTTTTATCTTTATGTAATATCCTTCTTTGCTTCTTTTGATCTTTATTGCTTTGAAATCTATTTTATCAGCAAAAATTGCAACTCCTGCTTTGTATTTATTTATTTTAGCTCTCCATTTGGTTGGTAAATTTTTCACCATCCCTTTGTTTTGAGTCTTTATGTATCCTTGGATGTGAGATGGATCTGGATGTAGCATACCAATGGGTCTTGGCTTTTTTGCCTGTCTGTGTCTTTGGATTGGGGGATTTAGTCGATTTAAATTTAAAATTAATAACAATATATGTGTGTTTGATACTGTCATTTAATGTTAGCTGGCTGTTTTGCCCGTTAGTTGATGCAATTTCTTAAATATGTTGATGTTCTTTATTTTTTGGTATTTTTTAGAAAGGCTGATACTAGTTGTTCCTTTCTATTTGTAGTGGTTCTTTCAAAAGCTCTTGTAAAGCAGGCCTGGTGGTGATGAAATCTCTGAGTGCTTGCTTGTTCACAAAAGATTTTATTTTTCCTTCGCTTATGAAGCTTAGTTTGGCTGGATGTAAAATTCTGGGTTGAAAGTTTTTTTCTTTAAGGATGTTGAATATTGGCCCCCACTCTCTTCTGGCTTGTAGGGTTTCTACTGAGAGATCTGCTGTGAGTCTGATGGGCTTCCCTTTATGGGTAACCTGACCTTTCTCTCTGGCTGCCCTCAGTATTTTCTCTTTCATTTCAACCCTGGTGAATCTGGCAATTATGTGCCTTGAGGTTGGCCTTCTTGAGGAATATTTTTGTGGTGTTCTCTGTATTTCCTGGAGTTGAATATTGTCCTGCCTTGCTAGGTTGGGAAAGTTTTCCTGAATAATATCCTGAAGCGTATTTTCCAGCTTGGATTGATTCTCTTCGTCACATTCAGGTACACCTATCAAACGTAGATTAGGTCTTTTCACATAGTCCCATATTTCTTGGAGACTTTGCTCGTTCTTTTTTATCCTTTTTTCTCTAATCTTGTCTTTTTGTTTTATTTCATGAAGTTGGTCTTCGACCTCTGATATCTTTTCTTCTACTTGATCAATTCGGCTGTTAAAACTTGTGCATAGTTCGCGAAATTCTCGTGTTGTATTTTTCAGCTCCATTAATTCACTTATATTCCTCTCTAAATTTTGTATTCTTGTTAACATTTCGTCAAACCTTTTTTCAAAGTTCTTAGTTTCTTTGCATTGGGTTAGAACAAGTTCTTTTAATTCCCAGAAGTTTCTTATCATCCACTTTTTAAAGCCAGCTTCTGCTAATGGAACACAGTCTTTCTCCATCAGGCCTTGTTCTGTTTCTGATGAGGAACTGTGATCCCCTGTAGAGGGAGAGGCGTTCTGAGTTTGGGTATTCTCAGCCTTTTTAGGCTGTTTTCTTCCCTTCGTTATAAATTTATCCATCTGTGGTCTTTATAATTACCGTCTTTATAGTTGGGTTTCTGAATGGACGTCCAACTTGTTGATTCCCGGCGCTAGAATCTGAGCAACCCACTGCTCCGGCCAAAACAGCGGCTTTAAGATTGATGGTGCTTTTCTGACTGCACCAAGAACCACCGCTCCAAGGCAGCGGCAAAACCGCCTCACCGGCCTCAAGAGTCACGCTGGCGACAGGTGGGGCTCCTCCGCTGGGAATCTCCCGGTGTGTGAGCAACAAAAATTGATCTGAAAGTGTGGCGTCCTCTCGTTCTTTGCTCTTTCAGTGGGAGCTGCAATCCCGAGCTGCTAGTGATCAGCCATCTTGGATCTCTCTCCAGTTGAATTAAGATTCATTTTTATTGTTAGATGCAACTATAGTTTATTCATTTTCACTGCCGTATGATATTCCAGTGAATGAAACTTCTATAATTTATTTATCTATTTATTGTCTGTTCATGGACATTTGAGTTGACTCCCACTTTAAACATTTCCCTACTATTATAAATACGTTGCTATGAATATTCATATACATGCCTCCTACTTGCCTTATCAAGAATTTCTCTAGGCTTATATGTTATGCAGATGTTCAGTTTTGCAAGATAATGTTAATGTATTTTCTAGAGTGAGCATATCAGTTTTCACTCTCATCACACCTGCAGAATATGCAAATCTTTAGTTGCTTCACGTCCTTGGCTACACCTGGTATTTTTAGGTGTTTTATGTTTTGCTCACTTACCTCAATGCTTCTTCCAATTTTTATTTTGTTTCCTCTTGTTTACGTTTTTTACTAATGAATATGTAATTGAACACAATGAAAATAATTGTTCTTTAACATTACTCACTTGAACCTTGGTTTGATGAATGACTTAAACTGGTCCCTTTCTCTTTGTGTACAGACAGTGCCAGAAAGAAACAGATTAAATGGACTCTACTTCAGAGATGGAAAGTGTCGAATTGACTACATCCTTGTGTACAGAAAATCGAACCCCCAGATTGAAAAGAGAGAAGTATTTGAAAGAAATATTAGAGCAGAAGGATTGCAAATGGAGAAAGAGGTAAATGGTTTGCTTGGATGAGAAAAAAAAATATGTATCTATTCATATTAAGAGGCAATGAGAAATAAACAATTAGTCATAATGTTAACCTAACATTTCATTTGGTCAGAGTTTGCCAATATTCAGAGTTTGGGGAATGTTCCAGCATTTAGACTTTCACAGCACAGTTTACTTTTGAGAGAATTTTAATGCCAAATGATTCCATGAAAATCAAAATATTCTATTCCAGTTAAATAGATTGTTTCAAACTGTGATTCTTTATCTAACTTCCTATGTCTGCCGTTTCTCTGTATATGTAAATGGAGGGTTCTATTCGCATGGATGAAAGAAAACTTTGAGTAAAATGCAGTCACTCTCTCTAGAAGTTCTTTTTACATTTCGGGAAATATCATGAACTTGAGCATCCTTGTATACCAGAGGAAACTGCCTGGCCGATTTGGCCAAAAGCAGCTGGAACTTAGAAAAACGATTCCAGTTTTAAGAGATATTTGGGCTATTGTTTTCAGGTCCCCAAGCTCAAGAGTGACCTTACCAGTGTTTGGTTCTTCCCGTTCCCTCCTTCTCTGCATGGGGAGCTTCAAGGAAGAACTAAGTAAGGAGTGTAGAAGAGGCCAGCCAGGCCTCTGATAGTAATCCACAATGGGCTTATGGTGTTCCCAGGAACCATGTGCACATTTGTAGAACTTGGCCCGTTAACTGAATTATGTAACTCTTCTCAGCTTCTCCCCAAACATTGTGTAAAGCTTCTGGAGCTTTTCTTAGTCAATAAGAAGAACATATTGGCAATTTAAGATGTTTACTTCTGATCCTGCTTCTCAAAGCTTTGGGGTTAGATCTTTGAAGTCAGGCATCCAGGGTTTTCTTTATATGAAACAGTTGCAGTTTGCGCAAACCGCAAGTTGTGTCAAGGTATCAAATATGAGAAGCGTAATATGCATATATGTGTTATCTGATCTTGGGACATTTCAGATAAATGGGATTCTTTCAGATCTGTTCAACTGACCTCAGCTCTTGAACGTTTCTAACACAGAAACAGCATTTTTCTGGAATGTCTCCAACAAGAGAATTGGAAAAATGGTGAGATGAATGTGGCCATAAGGAAACAGGTTCTTATTCTCAGGAAAGTAGAACAAGCTTTCTCAAAGACCATCTTAATTAGAGGTTCCCCGGAGTAACAAACAGAATTAAAAATGTTGTTTCTTCCACCTTTGCAGAGTTACAGAAAATCTTTCCTATATAAACTGGACATATATTCCTGTACAGACGGAGCAAATCTTGCTCTTTAAGCTCTAAATTGTCTCAGTAAGACAATTGCATTTTTTCCTTAACATTAATAGCACATTCACATTTTTCTACTTAATCATGCCTTCATCTTTTATTCTCATTCCTAACTGGCAGAATTTTTATATGAAGAAATAAGAGATCTGAATTGGCACATAATCTTAAATAATGGAAGTCCTCCCTCTGATCCATTCTAACTCTGTCAAAATTCTGATTCCCATCAAAACTAGATCGTTTTGTTTAATTAATGAAAGATTTATATTTTAAGCTTTCTAAGTATTCTCTACATGCCTAGGGCTTCTTCTGTATAGGTCTTTTCAATATTATTTCATGATTTATTGGCTAGAACTCAAAAGGCCTAATGCCTTCCCAAATGGTATACATTAAAGCGATGGAAGATGTCTGTTGTGTATCCTAAAGCATCACCTGTACTGCAGTGTTCAGAACCAGAACTCGAAAAGGATCATTCTGCCTGTTGTGCAGTGGTGCTGCACAGCACAGTGTTGGCCATGCTGTGAAGGATGGACTGCTTGTACTATTTTGTCTATATACAAGAATATTTTGTTTGTTAGAATTTTTTAAAAATTGTTAACAGGTATTTATTTTAATGTGTATTAGAAAAAGCAGTTGGAAAAAGGGAATTATCGCTATATGGCAAAACTTCATAAAAACTTATGTAAGCATCTCCCCTCTCCACACTTTCCCCCAAATGTTCTCTGGGTATCACCTTCTGTATTTCTCCTTTCTTTCACAGTCTTCTAAACACTACCAAGAGCTAGGTCTTCCTCTTTCTGGAACCTTCTTCACAAGTGGTCTCTCCTGCTGCCTGGCTCCAGTCTTGCCCTGGCTCTGCATAAGTGGTGTAATTTGTCTCTAATGCAACCTCCCAACTCGCTTTGTATCCTCATGGCCTCAGTCAGCTCACCAAGAAAAGGGCCTTTGCAGGTTCTCTTATAGATAAATTAATTTTCCCTACCCCAAATAATTAAAATATCCTTTTGCTGAACAGTAAACAAACCTTCATCCTTTATTCTAGTGGCAGAATTTTTTATATGAAATATCTATATTGTGTTATTAAATTTAGAGACCATTGGAAGTACTTTTATTTAAATCAAGTTTTTTATAAACAGCTACAGCAGAAAGGCAAACAATTTTAATGGCTATTTCAGCTTCCAGGAGTTAATTCAACCTTTCATAGGACATAAAATAAAGAACTTAGTTCAGGGTGGAAAAGAAAAAACACCCCAGGGACCCTTGTACATCTGAAACGTTTGACACTATGTACAGTTTATGAATTGTTATGAATTGTGAAAAAACATGTTTCACAGACAGAGGGTTATATTTCCAAATAGACAAAGAGAGGCTTTCTAGTTCAGTTTAACATCCTTATCTCTTTAACATTGAATTTCAAGAAACACAACTAGGATAATCTTTAATTCATGATAAAGTGAGGGCATAGTCAAGTTTAATGTTTCTTAAAACTTTTGCTCCAGGCTGGTTAGTCAACAGATAACTGCTTGCTTTGGTATCCTGGGTCTCTAAAATTCTGCAATTCAGCTTTCATAATAGCCCAGAGAAAGCAATTCCCAACAAAGTTCCCAAACAAAATATCATTGAGGTCCAGGTGATTTACTTCTTAGTATCTATCTACTTAAAGTGATTCCCTTCTTAAAGGTAAGCTCATATTTACTAATTAACATTTTCTATTTTTGATTTTTTTTATTTTTAATTCTATGCCCATTATTGATCTTTGGGTACCTATTTTGAAATCATTGCCATCAATGAGACATTTATATTTTCCTTTGTATAACTACTAAGAGGATGAGTTAACTTTGACTTACTTGGAATGTGTGAGTAGCAATTGTATTAATGGGAGCACTTCAGAATCATGTGAAACATTGGGGAAGACCCTTATCATTACAGTCATTACAAAACTAATATAATTAGGTAAATTGTATCATCTTGATGGTTATTTCATTCAAGAAATATTTATTGCACATTCGTTCTATGCCAGGCATTTCTTTAAGGAGTAGGATCTCAGCAGCAACAAATAAAGCAGAATAAAAAGTCCCTGCTTTGTTGGAACTTAAGCAAAAAATATGTACAATATATACAAATACTGGTAAGTGCTAAAGAGAAAAAAGTAAAGCAGGAAGTGTTGAGACGGGCTTGCAGTTTTATAAAAGTCAGCAAAAGTGGGCATCTTTTCCACAGAAAGAGAAGAGCTCCACAGGGTGGAGCATCCCTGCTGTGTTCATGGAACAGGGAGGATGCCAGTATGACTAGAGTTCACTGAGCAAGGTGGAGAATAGTGGGAAATTACACCAAGGCAGCAACAGAAGCCTTGGTGGTCACTGGGGGATGTTAGCTTTTCTCTGAGTGACACAGGAAGTCACTGGAGAGATTTGAGCAGAAGTATAAGATCTGTTTCTGTTTTATTAAGGGCACTCTGGTTGCCTGGTAGGATTAGACTGTGGGAGGTGGAGGGACAAGGGCAGAAGCAGGGAGAATAATTAGGAGATTTGTTGCAAGAATCCAGGAAAGAGATGATGGTGGCTTGGGAAAGCACATAGAAGAGAAGATGAGAAGAGTAGAAAGTAGTGCTGATGGGAATTGCAGACAGGTTGAATGGGTAGTATAAAAGAGGATAGTCACAGAGTATTTGTCTGACACATGGTATTTAAGCAGTTGGGAGAAGACAGTTGTCCCTTACAGGGACATGGATAAGAATAGGTCACATTGTAGACTTGTTAAGTTTGAGGTATCCCTGTGGAGTTGTTGGGTAAGATAGAAGAGTCTGGTATTCAAGGAGAGTCCTGGGCCAGAGATACACATTTGAATGAGATCTCCAAAGGAGTAACAGCAAATAAAAATGAGAAGAGGTGCAAGGATTGAGCCATGGGGAACACCAGTGTTAAAATTTGGATGATAAAAAAGGTGGTGATGCTTCTCGGCCTTTTAGCTAAGATCAAGTGTAGTATCTGTTCTTATCAGTTTAATATCTGATATGTCCTCTATCTGAGGACAATATATTAAATGTGTTTTTGGAGTTGGGAGATGGAACAGGAGCTTGCTCCATCCACTCCATGCATCGACCTGGTATTGCAGTACTTCCAGGAATGGTGCACCCCCTCTGCGGTTATGATCTTTATAAAATAAAAATAAAAATAAAAAAAGAAAAAGAAAAAAGGAGGCAGCAGAAGAGACTAAGAAGGAGTCACCAAGGGGCTAGAAGAAAAATCTAGAGAGTGTGGTTCAGGAGAAAGGGAGGAATCAACAGTGTCAGATGTTGCTGATGAAGTGTGTACAATCAAGGCTGAAAGTTAATCACTGGATTTAGAAATATGGCTGGTTTGGGTGCTCTGGGCAAGAGAAGTTTCAGTGGAGAAGCGGGGAGTGAAAGCATCATTCAAGTGTCTTCAAGAAAGAATGGGAAGAGAAAATATAGAGACAACAAATACAAATAGCTCTTTCAATATGTTTCACTATATAGGAATGAAGAGAAATAAAATGATAACGAGTATGAAGTTGGGTCAAGAAAGAGTTCTTTCTGTTTTAGATGGGAGAAATAAATGCATGTTTTCATGCTAATAAAAGCTATATATTTGAGATGAAAAATTGATGTTGGGGAAGAGTGGAGGAAGAACTTTTAGATAAATCTGCTAGAAGCAATAAGAAAAGAATGGCCACAAGCATCTCCCTTTACATGGACTCACCTA